GTGGCTTTAAGCCTTGGTGTCTTCGTTTTGACATTGGAAATGCCACTTACCCTTCAGCCCTTGCTTGGGATGCCCTCCTGCCACCAGACCCATCTGGGCTGGGTGTCCCTATGTTCACCCTCTACAGCACCCCTCACTCTCCATTGTCAGTGAGAGACTAGCTCACTCATCTAGTCTCTGATCTCCTTTGACTTATCTGTAAAATGGGAATTCTGCCTACTTTGCAGGGTGTGAGCTATAAAAGAATACCCTTGCAAAGTAACCCAGAAGACTTGCGTTTGATGGCTGGTAAATAAAAGTGTTGACTGTTCCTGCTGTCTTTGAATTATGTTTCAGTGCCATGTGCAGGGAAGGAGGGGAGAAGCTGTGAACCTGGAGAGAACCTGTCCCCTCTCCCCAGTGGAGAGGCTCTGAGTCATTTAAGTGGGGAGGCAACATGCTCTGAGTTGCTTTGCAGATGACAGACAGTAGCAACAGAGGGAGAATGGTTTGGAGAGGGATGAGCCTGGAGGCAGGGTGGTTATTGCAGTGATACAAGTGGGAATCCATGTGGCCATCAATATGCCAGATAGTGGCAAGAAGGATGGAGAGGAAACGGTGGTGTTGAGATGGAGTTGATGCAAGAAGACTAAAGGAAAGGAACATAAAAGATGCAAGAATGTTTTGTGGATTTCTGGTTTCAAACCATTGCAGTTGATTGGAGGAACAGATTCGTTTGACAGTTGACATGCCATGAGGAACATTTGGGTGGAGAGGTCCAACAGGCAGTGGTGAGCTTGAAGAAAAGTTGGAGCCAGAAGGGGGTGATGGGGAATCCTCAGAGAGCAGAAGGAAGTTGAATTAACAGGAGTGGATGGAGAATGCTCTGGGTAAGAGTATAAGGCAAGAAGAGAAGACCATCACATCTAGAGAAGTTCACAGTAGCAAAGTCCACAAAGAGTACTGACACTGAGTAACCAGAAAAATGGGGGAAAGCTCAGAGGGAACCCCAGAGATACAGGAGTTTCAGGTCAGATATCAAATTAATATGAGGACTAGAAAGTCGTCATCAGTATAGCAGACTTGGAGTTCTTTGTAAATGGGGAGGGAGTGTGGAGTGTGAGCCAATTTAGAAGGACAGTTTGAATAAGTACAGGGACTGTTAGCCTTGACTTGGAGAAGGTTAAGGTGCTACGGCCTTCACCAGGGAGGAAGATGCAAGGTGAGAGGACACTGATGGCCTCTGGGCTTTCTGTGATGTACACTCCCTGTGGGGAGCTCAGGTTGAGTGATGGTGGAGGATTAGAGAAGGGGTGGGAGTGAGGGGGTTGAAATATTTGGGAGGAGGCTTTTGAGTGACTCTGGAGGGTCCATTGGAGGTCTTATTCCTGCCTCCTCCTCTTTATCTTACACTTAAGTCATACATGTATGTGTATCTTTTGTATCTGACAGACATCAGTAGTGGAGTTATCTAAGGGGATAATGTCATTATTTGGGGCACACGATAACTTTTGAATAAAATCTTAAATATATGGTCCAATAATTTTTGTATATTAGTTGGACCTTCATGTAGATCAGATTGTTTTGTACCGTAGACACTACATGAATAGTTAGACTAGATGATCTTGTTTCAATCTAGCTCTAAAATTTTATTATTGTACACATCCATAATTTAATTTGTAAAATACACTTTATTCCAAACATAAATTTTATTTTTATAGAAATAATCCCTAATTGGACATCTTACTCACCAGACTGTTCTCTGCTCCCCTTCTAAGCAGAGTTGTGGTTGACTCTGTAGTATTTGCGCATGCTCTCTCTCTCTCTCTCCTCTGTCTGTCTCTCTCTCTCTCTCTCTAAGGTAGTTGTTGGCCTTGGGACAATCTTTCTAAGCTGTCTGTAGTGTCATGCCAATCCTTTTCAAGTAAAGTGTTGCCTTAGACATTTCTTTTATATCTTCCAAAATGTTACAGACATTAGGCAAAAAGAGCATCTATATCACCTTTTTTTTTTTACACGTTTAGCATTTTTTACTTAATAATTACTGGCATAGAGCTTCCAGTCCTGGTCCTGCTCAAAGCACTTTACAAATATTAACTCATGTACTCCTCATGAAAGAGGTTCTGTTATTTTCATCTGTTTTACAGACAAGGAAACCGAGGGGCAGAGGGGGAAGCCAAGTAATTTTCCCAGGTCACACAGCTGGATTCACTCCCAGGAGTTGTAGCTTTAGCATCTATCTTCTCAGCATCTGTGCCTGCTGTCTCCAGTGTGTCACATTGCTGTGTCATTTGCTAGCAAAGATGGGAACCTAAGTGGGAGAGTTCATATGTGTCACACAAGCATACTTACTTTTCAGAATCATAAGACAACTAAATTAATAAAATACTCTGTTTAACCCTGAGAACTCACCAGCACATAAGTGCTAATTAAAAACAACAAATTAGAATATACTTCTCAGTGAATGTAAATGCTTCTTAGCTGATTTCAGAGTCATTGCAAAGGTTTCAGTTTATGTCAAGTCACATATCAGTTGTGCGTGATCTGTACTTCAGAAAGCGTTGTACCTTCCCTCTGCCACATCCTGAGAGGAGCAGTTCAAAAGGAAAACCAAAACAGAGAAACAGCCCTGGGGCTGAGAGCTTTCCTGGCAAAAGGATTACAGTTATTTCAGCTTTTTAGTAATGTTATATATTTCTCTGGTTGCTTTGATTCAGATCAAGAGAAGTTCACATTCTACAAATTTTGTAGTCCTGACAACCAACTTGATGACTTTCAGGGTGATGAGACACCCTGAAACTGAACAGTTTAGAACATAATGCCGATTAAGGATTTTAATTCAGTTATGCAAATTAGGATTTTTATTCAGTTTAGAAATTGTTAATTAGTTTAAAAGTGAGTTGGTGTCTCCTTGGAAAATTGAGGGCTTTGGCACATTAACCCTTAGTTCTGGGATGCTCAGACTCCATGGCTAGGGCAGTCCCCAGGCCAGGCAGGACTAGATCCCTCGGTGTGGCTGGTTTTGAGTTCACTCTCTGATCTGTAGGGACTGTGCACACAGAGGGTGTTCCTGTCTGTGAGCTCACAGAGGTAACTTCTTAGATTATGAGGGGATGCAATCTGTGCTCTCACCCAAGTGCCTCACTCATCTTGTCTCTGTGACTTCTTGGCTTATATTTTCTTAGGGAAATCATTTGTTCTTGCAAGTCTCATCACATTTTAATTAGGAAGGAGTTTAGGTCAGAAGAAATAATTGAAATCCACAAGAAATAGAAGTGAAGTATTGTTGTCCTTTTCCCTCATTGTTGGGATTATTAAAGTTACCCTGTATTTCGAAAAATTCATTGACACTGGAAAATTTCAATTAATTACTGGATTTTTGTGTTAAACATAGTATCCATTGAGATTTTTGTTTGTAGTAGATTTTGCATCTGTAGAGAAAATTGCATAAGACTTTTTAGTTTGCCACCCATAGTAATAGCTATTATTACAGACTGAGTTTTTAGTGTGTCCTTTGTAACTTAAATGTGATTGTTCTAAAAGCTTAAAAAGAGGAAGAGAGTTGTTTTCAATGCCTTTGTATTGTCTTAATGACAGTGTTGTGATTAATTTGATAGATGTGAAATGCCATGTTAGAATTGGCATTTGAATTGGAACTTGAACTTGCAGACTTTCTCCATGTCCTTTTCTTACAGGGGCACATTAACAGTGTAAGTGAAGGGAAGCTGGAGAACAGCCTTAGCTTTTGAATTTCCTGATTTTATGCTATTTACGTAAAACCAGTACCCAGGAGGATCAGAATGCTTCAGTAGTGCAGTGCCCTCTAGCTGTGGCTTAAGAAATTGGATACCCAAAAAGAACTATTGTCTATTATTTAGTTTTGAGAGGAGATTCCGTTTATCACATTCGTTTATATATTTCTCTCGTTGCTCTAGATTTTCATAATTTTATTACAGAGGAAACATTATTAAATGGAAACTCAATTTTCAATTATTGAACAGGGTATTTGGTCTCTGATTAGCCTTAAGGCTTCCTACTAAATTTATGAACTGTGTATACTGAGGGCTTTGATAGAGGTGGGTAGGTCAGGCAGGCGATTTTATCAGCCCTAAGGAATTCGTTTTTTGTTGTTGTTGCTGAAAATGATGCTTTCAATACAGCATAGCATCAGGCAAGTGATGCTTTTTCATTATTTGATTTTTTTTTCCTAATTTGCTTTGATTAGCAATTATTAGCCCACTACTCATATTTTTTTTGCCCAAACACTTGCTAAAAATTTACTTAGCATTCAACTGTTTTTCATCTAGTATAATTTAAATTGTGTTTTCTTTATCAGTACCTTTTAGAAGTAGTTCTACATTCTGAAGTTCTTCAGAGAGCTCAAAACTTGTGCAGTGGGGAAAGAACCAGTCATAAGACTGCACAGGCACACTACCCAAAGGTCATCCATCGACTGTATTTTCTAAAGTATCTGAGAATCTTCCCCTTTAAGACGTAGTTTGTACCTAACAAAAGAATACCTTTTCTTATAACTTTGCCTGCTGAAATTCATGCAGATTAACCAGGAGATTCTAAATGAATATTGGCTGCATTTTCCATGGCCCCCAAATCAACTGTACCTCAAGACTAAATAGGCACAGTGGACTCTTTTCTCAATCTCAGTGCATAGAAGCAGGGTGTCACCGTAATTATGGGCTTTCATCAGCATGGTGAGCAATATATTCCGTATTCTACACAGGCCCCAGGACAGGTGATTTTTATGGACTCTGAAACATACCCTTTGATGCTTGATTGCAAGAGTTTACTGGTCTCCTGATGCAGGAGATGTGGGACTTGGAGTGGTGGAAAAGCAAGGAAGTTCATTTGATGAATAAAATGTTTTCGTACTGTTCTTGGTGATGTTGATATTTCTTGCTGAGACATTTTCCTCTGTGGTCTAATCTCAAGTTAAGGGGCTGATGTTTGTGGAAGATCTCTGAGCCCTGTGTAATTGTCTTTGTCTTGTTGCTGTTGTTTTCTAGCATCCTCCAGGACAAATAGCAAGGAAATACAGCTCCTGCTCCACTATTTTCCTAGATGATAGCACAGTCAGTCAACCAAACCTCAAGTATACAATTAAATGGTGGGTATACAGATTTTTTTGCTTAACTGAATGCTTTTTCTGTTCCTTAACCTGACTGCCAAACTGACTGGTTGTGGGGTCTGGGAGGGACAAGATTGGGTGAGTAGGGGTGAGGGGAAGCACTGACAATTCAGGAAATCTTTTTAAAAAGTGATTTTGGTGATTAAGATGTGGGGTATTCAAAATATTTGTGCATATCGCTATTTACATTAAAAGATCAAAAATTTTAACTTATTTTAACTGAAGATTACACAAAATTTGTTTTTTATTTTTGTGCCTACTTTCTACCGTGTCACTTTTTATTGAAGCCATCTTGCATAATTTTGCTGGTACTTTGTCTTCTAAATAAAATGAGGCTCTTGGGTTCTCAGCTTAAGACTCAGAGATATAATAGAAAGCCTGCTTGGCTTGGTGGAAGTGGACTTGCTGGAGTCAGGATAATCAGAGTTCTGACTTGATTCTAGTTCTGACCTTGGCGCTGTTGCAACAGAGAGAGTTTGGGTAGCCCCTTATCTATGGGACCTTTAGTTCTGTATTTTAAAATGGAATCTTTGGATAAAATCCTTTCCCTTTTGGGGCTTCAATTTCCTCATTTATAGGAGGGAACACTTTTTTTTCCTTAATGTTCCTGCTAGCATTGCGGTAAGTTATTATCACCCTTAGCAGGGACCACAGAGAGCTTGATATGCTGGAGTCTGTGGCCAGCAGCTCAGCTGTGAAAAATCTGTGAATTTTATCTCTATACTTGTTTAAGAAAGGCACATTTAACAACAAATACATGTCAGCATGTGAAGTGACTGTTTAAATTTCTAAATAAGGAGTATCCTTTCATGTCACTGCGCCAGGTTCAGGCTTAGGAACCCTATCCTGAATATGACCAAAAGTGATAGTCAGACACTGAGACCGTGAATATCTTCTGTGGACAGTGTCCACTCCAGGTGGAAGGCGGAGGACGAGGCTATTTATAGACAGTTCCCATCTTGCCTGTGGGGTTGCCTGTTTCCAGGGTTTCATGTCTACAGGGAACATAGCCCCTCCTTCACTCCCTCAGATCTGGGGGTGCGGGAAATGACTAGTGCACACAAACCAAATAGGCAGCACTAGAGAAGTTTCTGAGCTCTACAGTGCGTGACTTTGCCTGAGCCACTTCTGCCCTTGGCCCTGGTTCAGTGCTGGCATATGGGAGGCGCAGTACCTCTTGAAAGTGTTTTCTTGTGAAGTCATCAGGACGTGTGAGAGATGTGGAGCATCCTGAAGATCTATGCACCACGTGACATCAGACATTGGCTCAAGCTCTGAAGAGTCCAGACAGAAGCTACCAACTTCCCTTTGATCCTGGGGTCCTCTCACAGGAGCATGGCAGGGCAGAGCAGAATGACTTCCCTTCCAGGAGCTGGGGCTCTTAGTATTCACAAGTAGATTTGACTCTTGTTCAACAGTTTCACCCTGTACCACTTAAAATTGCCACTGATTGTAACCTAGACCCTTAGGAGCCAGTGGGAAAACTGAGTGGCAATTTGATGGTTCATTGGTAGAGTCTGGGTGGTACAAGCACCTAAGTTACAAATGTGTATTTGTGTAAATCACTGGTCCCTGCTCTGGCCATGCCTAGGAGTCACCTGGGAGCTTAAAAACACTCTAATGCTTGATGTCTCCCTATAGATCCTACTGAATCCATCTGAGGTATAGTGTGAGTGTCTGCATTTTAAACCTTCCAGAAGATTCTGATAGGCAGCCAACATTGAGGATCCCTGATGAAGATGGATGGCTTCCCTCCCCTCCTCCACCAGTGTTCCCTTGAAACTTTTAAATTACCTGCGGTTAGAATGTAGAAGACATAGAAACTGAAACACAGGAACAGTTAGATAGCTGGCTGTAGAGATAAAATATTCAGTGCAGATACTGTGACTTCCCTGTCCCAAAAGGCATTTTGTCTGCATTACACAAACTTGAAGTTCTTCCTGTCAGTAGTTAGCTGCTTTAGAAAGTATTTTTAAAATGTGCTTTGGGAGCTGGGAGCTAGGGGTGGTGAGCCCTAGCTGAGGTAGTGCTGTCAGCTCCTTCCCTGGAAATACCAGCCTCCTACTTGGGGTTTGGTGATGATCAGGGGACTAAGGAGTAAAGGCCATCTTAGATGTCAACAACCTTACTGTGTCTTCAGCTGGTCATTTTGGCAGTGTGAGAAGACAGGACACTCAGAAGGAGGAAGATTGTTAAAGGGACAGGAAGAGGCTGATTCCAAATGCCATCTCACTCTTTTTTTTTCTTTCTCTGCCTTCCCTAAATCCAGGCCTTCTTGTCCCCACTTGTGATACTAAAATTGACAGTAGAATCATTAATATTTTACAGTAGAATCAATAATAATTTACCTTCCTTGTGGGCACTTGTGGGTCGAACTTGCTTCCTGAAAACCAGTATGCCCTTGTTTCCCTGTGAGAGACTGCTCTAAGTTCTAAACAACCGATATATAAATGGATTTTTGGAAAACAAACCAGCCGTGAATTGGGGATTGCCAAAATTAACAAATATATTTGCAAAGTCAAGTTGGGGGTAGGGGAGGATTGAGTGCCAGTCTATCTGAAAGAAAAACTATAAAAAGCTTAGGCACTCATTCTGTGCTCATTCTTTCTGTAGACATAATGTCTTATTTTGAGAACTAGATTTTCCCATTTCTCCCCTAAATGCCAACAGCTGTGGTAGGAATTTAGCGTTTGCCAACCGCTCTCTATGTCCCTGCAGTCAGCCCCTCCACACCAGATCCTATCACAAGCATAAGAATGATGATCAAAGAAAAGAGCAGAGGGCAGAAGGGCCCCCCTTACACACCTGGTCACATCATCCACATTCCTTGGCTTCCAGGGTCAGAGAACAGCTGACTGCCTACCACACCCCTCTCTGCCGTTTGACCCCTCTCTGCTGCTAGAACCCACCTCCTCCTGATCTTCAGAGATCTTAGGATTGTCATAGGATTGACCAGTTTAGCTCTAAGTTAGAAGAATAAGACAAGTATATCCTAGCACTTTGGGAGACTGAAGCGGAAGGATCACTTGAAGCCAAGAGTATGAGACCACCCTGAGCAACATAGCAAGACCCTATCTCTAAAAATATTTTTAAAATTAACCAAGCATGGTGGCACACACCTGTAGTCCCAGCTACTTGGGAGGCTGAAGTGGGAGCCCACGAGTTGGAGGTTGGTGAGCCGTGATCATGCCACTGCACTCCAACCTGGGCAACAGAGCAAGACTCTATCTCAAAAAACAAAAAAAAAAGTGCACTGCCAACAATCACAAATTCATTCTGTTTTGTTTTCTTGGACAAGAAAATACCATTTTATTCCTTCCCAGCTCCATGGAAAAGCAGCTGAGCAAACCCTTCAGTCCAGATGTACTTCTGTTCTCTGACATGTTTCCTTCCTATCCTTAGTGAAAACTCACTGTTTTTTGAGAACGTGGCAGAGTTGACCAGGCCTCTGAAGTTGAGCACTTGGAGTGTAGGGTTCACTAGTTCCCCCAGCTTTCTTTCTTGTCCTGACCAAAAATCACAGGGTGCCTTGACAGCTCTGTGTCCAGAAGACTTGGATTTGGTAAAGGCAGCAAGAGCCAGTTAACTGTGGAACTCATGTAATTGATCTGGCTAGCCACTTGGACCTGAACCCGAAGACATCCTCGATTGTTTGACTGTTAAGATTAGGGGACAGCAACTGTAATGATTCCTGGTTCTGTCTGGAGGTGAGGCAAAAAAATTAACAGTGCTGCAGCTCATCCCTCCATTGGACAGCGCTACATGGCTCCCCCTGGGCATCAGTCCCTGAGAGACTGGATCATCCTAGCCTATAGGAAGCTTGGACATGTGAGGGGGAGGTGCTTGGGGTCCTGCAGCTTGGAAGATAAAGTGGCACAGTCACAAATTGATAGCGAGGGTGACCATCCATGCCCACTTTCCAGGGGCATGACAGTGTCACTCTCATAGCTGTTATGCACAACAGGCCCCTAAAGCCTGCCCCATGGGCAAAAGGGCACTAATTCCCATCTTAGGTCCCTTGGCAGGGGCTCCTGCATACCATGTGGGTCATGCTTTGACTGAAATAGGGGAAGTGGAAACTGGAACAGCTAAAGTGAGGAGTGCTTCAAACCCAGGGACCCTGAAAAGACACACTCCCCCCAAAAGATACAACAGAATAGGTGTCAGGGAGTCAACTATGACAAGATCTTCTAAAGATAGGTATGAAGAAATTAGACTAACAACCCAGTACAGTTCTCTTCAGACTTTAAAAAGCCCTCAAGTGGGAGCAGTAGAACACCATAAAGTTAATCCTCAACCTCAACACTGTGTCTAGAAAAAAACCTGAGGACAAAAGTTGGCGAGCACTGGAGCCCCTACCGTGATGAGAAAGCATTATGTCCCTCAGCATAGGGCCATTGAGGGAACCAGGGGCCCCATGTGGAAATAATGATTCAGTAGTTTCCTCAAAACAGAGTTTAGGCTGTGGTGGATACAGAGGCTGATGTACTCTAACTCGTGCTCCTGGGCCCCTATTTTATGACGAGTTGCATACACCCTGTGAGGCGAGCACATCCACTGTTAGAAATTAGATATGCTTTGCCACCCCAGGGTGCAGTGGTAAGAGCCATACTCCAAGGGGCCTAGTTGAGAGCCAGTGGTATTACCCCACACACGATGGATTATTGGGTCATGAGGGTATCTCCCAGGAAGGCATGAAACGATAACAGCTGCTGTTCAAACACTGAAGCAGTGAGGATCATGGGTCTGCACAGAACTCATACAGCATTCTGTGTGGCCAGTGCAAGAACCTGAGGGATGATGGCTGGTTACTAAAAACTAAGAGGACTCTAGCCATACATGCTGCTGTTCCAAATGTGACTCAGATATTTAAAAAACTACTTGTTTAAGTACATGACACACTGTCCTAGAGTTAGTAAACATTTCCTTTAATATGCCCTTAGACCCAAAGTTCCAGGACATGTTTGCCTTCACCTGGAAAGCTAACAGTAAACCTTTTGGGTGCTCCCAGGATGTTTACATAGCTTCACTCTCTGGCTATTGTAGGCGATCTGCCTGGCAATCCCCAGGAACATTATATAGATAATATTTCTAACTTCTACAGATTTGAGTCTTTTACCCAAGACTATCCAAAAGTTCTAGAACATCTGCAGTCCAGAGGAATTCCTGGACATGGTCTAGGTAGGTAAGACATGACTTTCACCAACAGCCATAATTGACAAAATTACAGGCATACCCACAGCCCCAAGCAGTTAAAACATTACAAACCTTTGTAGGTCTTACTAGATATTAAAGGAACGACATCCCCTCTGGCCCAGTGTCTCAGGTCATTATACTGCCTCATAAAAAGGGGCATGTTGGGACAGATCTGCTTTTGGAGTGATTCCAGCCTCAGGTTCGACAGCACAGAGCATGGAGTGAAACCTCAAGCCAGGACTGATGAGTTGACAGCTGACTACCTCTTTTTCCAGCAGTCACTTCTTTCAAGACAACCAGCTAAACTGACCTGTGGAACTGGACTGTGCTCAAATCCTCAGCTCATGTTCTCACTTTCCAGGATATAATTGAGTGGAAATTGGCCTCCAGAGTGGCCCTATTTTTCCTGGAGGTCTTAGGCCATGGTAATGTCCAATCTTGCCTTTGGCTTGGGCAGTAGTCACCATGGGGCCCTGATGATTTTCACTTAATGTGCAGAATTAGAAAGTCTCCTGATAGGAAAATGACAATAATAGTAATTTTTTTCTAGAAGATAATGCTTTTATATACTTTATTTGATAATAATCTTTGAGATAATACTTTTATATACTTTTAAAAATCATAATTACAACTCTGTGTTGTGGGTTGTATTCTCCTAATTTTATAAATGAGGAGTTGAAGCCTCTGAGAGGTGAATTAACTTTGATAAGTGAAGCAGCCAAATTTAGGAGCCAGGTTGATCTGACTTCAATCCAGGGATATTTCTCCTGTGCCACACTCTCTCAGGGGAAGTAAAGAACCATTTTCTTTCTCAAATGTATAAGCTAATCACTGTTCTCAACCCAATCATATGAAACATTCCATTTAAATCCAACATTAGATTAGAAAAACAATCATCACAGCATCACTAGTAAATGAATAAAGCAGTAATTTCTCCCTTTTTTCCAGAGGCAACATGGTAGAATGAAAGGGCATAAAACCGTTATACAAGTTAGAAATCCTGGCATCTACTCTCTGAACCTGAGTTTCCTCACTATGAAATGGAATTAGTAACATCTATTGTTTTCTGTTACAGGACTGTTAATGTATGTGAAAACACTTTGAAACATTATTATAATTTTTAAATTCTGAAACCGTTTTATCCCAGTTCTAATTCCTTTCCCAGCTTAAGTGCTTTTCAAGATGTTAGAAGAAAATGTATGACTTTACATTTAACACTAAACTGGTCATTTGAATGAATAGATCTGGATAGAGATTTGGGAAAATATAAGTTTTGTGATAGAGTGAGACTAACTACTGTCATGTTAAGTCATGGGAACCATCTGAGCTCCTTGGAATCCACAGTGTGTGCTCACATCTCTAAGCTGGTATAGCTGAGCAGGCTGAGTTGTCTGTCTCCAAATTGGTGCCCTGGATGGCAATTTCTGTCCTCTGGGAGAATCAGAACACCATCTGCTCCAGCCAGTTAGCTGTGTTCTGAGAAGTTTAAAAAATAATTTTTGGTTTCCTCAATAAATTATAATGTAAAGCAAAAATAGTGGAAGGATCTAGACAGTTTTTAAAAGAGGAAATTTTAAAATATTGACCAGTCAACATGAATAACCCTGCCAACCTGACAGGTGATTAAAGAAACTCAAATTGGGAAGGTAACAGTTGGAGAACACTTTGTCAAAACATTCAAGGTCAGTGTTGGTGATTGTGAGGTAAAGCTGATGCTGGTGTGAAAGTCGGCTGGTGTAACCCTTTTGCAAAGATATTTGGCAGGACTGTGGATCAAGTAATTCCAACTGCAGGATATTTTCTTATGGAAATAAAAATAATATAGTCATAGGTTGCGCAAATATTTATTTTTGAGGATGTTAATTGTGGCATTAAGTTGTAATTACAAAATGTTAGAAACAAACGTCCAGTAGTAGGGAAATGGTTAAGTAAGTTATTCAACAACTGTATGATAGAATATAATCAGCCATATAAAATCATGTTTTAGAGAATATTTTAATGGTAAGAAAAATGTTAATATAATAAGGATGAAAGTAGGATACAAACCAAACACATATGATTTATAGATGGAAACAACTATATCTCAAGCTAATGGTTGTCTTTGAGCAGAGAAATTATTTTTCTTTATACTTCCTATATTTTCCCAAATTTCTGCAATGAATATAGTTTATAGTCAGAAAAATATTATTTTTTTAAAAATTCAAGGGAAAGGAATGGTCATTAAATTTAAATCTTTTCAAATGTAAAATAAAATTTTAAGCTAGTGCTACAAACAAAAATTACAGTATCATTTCAACAAGTGAATGAATAATTTGGGCAGATTGCCAAGAGGTTACTGATTTAACAGAAAAACGGCAAAACACTGTGGGTGATATTCACATTTTTCTGGTAGCTATAAAGAAACCACTAATTTTCTAGACTGGTTGGTAATGATTTGGAGATTCCTAAAAGTGCTTAATTTGTACCACCTGTTTTTACACAGGGCTTATATTTTACAAGTGAGGAAAACTGAGGGTTTCTGAGTAGAAAGAGCAGTTTGTTTCTAAATATCAGTTGAAGTTCTGTTGCTTCTAGAAAAGATTTAATAATTCCAGGGAATGAGCACCAGATTGATTTACTTTGAGACTGCATTTTCTTGATCAGCTGTCTGACTGAAATGGGATTGTTCAGATGGATGGTTTGACTTTTACTTATATTTAAATATTTATGTTCAAGCTGAAGTCAGATAATATATGAGATCTTGAAAATGCTTATGAGACATTGAACTTTGCATTTTATTTTACAGTGTAGCTCTTGCAATATATTATCACATCAAAAACAGGTAGGTGGATGATTAATTTTGTGCTAAAAACATCGCACATTATCTTTTATTATGTTTTTCCTAATTTTTTCCCTGTTATGTTCTAGTTGCCTTAGTCTTTGAATTACATATTCTTAATTCATATTTCCATAGAATTTCTAAAGGTAGTATAATTTACCAAAATGTCCTGGGTAAGTACTGAACTGCTTTTGAATCAGAGGAAACCAAATGAGTATTTGTGACTGAAACCAGAAAAACAGAACAAACTTTGATAATGTTCAGCTTCCTCATCATCATTTATTTTCTTCATAATTTGTTCAAATATTCTATATTTTACAAAATGTTATTTAAAAAGTTTACTGTGTGTAATTTAACATGAAAAAATGTTTAATTTATAATTTGAATTCAGTAAAGGAAATTTTGGTGTAAATGTAAACATAAACTGTTAAATGTAGTAGAAGCCATGTTTCTAATAAAAGTGTGTCTAGCAGTAAAGTAATTTAAAATGAGGGAATAAAAAAAAATCTACTTCAAGCATTTTATTTTGACATAGAACATGTAAGAATACGTTCATTTGCCAACTGGTTTTATGTAGCATTAAAACATTTTCTTCAAGCATGGGACATTGACTGGAGAATCAAAGTGCCTTTCTTTGATAAGCCTCATCTAAAATTCATCCTAAGCCGGGCTCGGTGGCTCAGCCTATAATCCCACGCCTTTGGGAGGCTGAGGTGAGTGGATTGCCTGAGCCCACGGGTTTGAGACCCGCCTGGGCAGCGAGACTTTATCTCTACAATAAATCAAAAAATCAGCCGGGCGTGGTAGCGCGTGCCTGTAATTCCGGCTACTTGGAAGACTGAGGCGGAAGGATCGCAGGAGCCCAGCAGGTCGAGGTTGCGGTGGCCGGGAGTGGCCACTGCACTCTAGTCTGGGCGACAGAGTGAGACTTCAACTCAAAAAAATAAAAAATAAAAAATTCATCCTATCCAAATTGCTAGGTTTTTTTTTAAATAGTGAAGAAACTTCAGGACATTTGTGAAACACATGAGTATAAAATCTTTCAGATTTTGGCTTTCCTTAATCTACAGCACATTTGTTTTTATTGATTCCCTTTTAGTGGGGGTCTCCAAAGCATTCATCTTACTAAGAACAAAGCCACTCTCATGGTGGTCATACTTCATGGATTAATGTGATATCTGTGTTTTATATGAGAATAAAAGCACACTGGTGTGAACTAGTCTGGGAGCATGCAGAGCCCCCACATTGTAAACGTGGCTCTCAGCCAGTGGGTGCCCCACCACCTCAGTATGTTTACAAAGGGGAGAGAGTGGTGGTAGGTGGTACAGGAGAGGCTGGATGACAGTGCTCTTCTGACAGCATTATGGGAAAACACACACATCAGGAGGCAAACATCTGGAAAGGTATTTTCTGCAGTGACCTATTTCCATATTATAGTTGTGATTTTTACTTCTTTATGGGACTTGAACATTTTAGATTTAAGAACTTACGAACCACATACCTTTGGAACTCTGTAAGTCTTGAACCAGAATAACATAGCAGTGAAAACACACATTTTGTCTTGTTGCTTATTTCCATGATACTAGTTCAGACTTTTAAAACATTTAAACCTTAAGTAACAATGTAATGCCATTAATGCAACTCAGATGTGCTTTCAAGCCAGTTTTGCTTTGGCATCTCTAAGAAATTTCTCAGTTTTTGCCATGAGGATCCTACTGTGTTACCCAGGCTAGTCTTGAACTCCTGGGCACAGGCCATCCTCTCACCTCAGCCTCCTGAGTAGCTGAATGGATCTTGAGTAGCTGAGGTTAATTTAGCCATAGCTGTAACAAGAGCCAACTTTATTACATGCTTACTCTGACTCCTCTGGTTAGTTCTTTACATGCATTATCTCAGTTAGTTTTAATAATAGCTCCTTGAGGTGATACTGAAATTGTCTCCATTTTACAGATGAAGAATAATCGAGGCACAGAGATTAAATAATTTGCCTTAGATTATACCTCTAGTAAATTGGGAATTGCACACAAACCATCTACTGCACCGACCATTAATCATGTTGCTCTCCTAAATTAATAGTGATAAATTAGGCCAACAGTAGGTGAGTGGAAGTGAAGAAAGTCCAAATGGAAAGTCAAGCCTTTGTAAACAGGCATGGCTCATCTGCAGATTGTAGCATAGGGTCTCTAGGGAAGAGGAGGCCTGGCCCTGCCCACACCTTCTTGAGGAGTCACACTGGGCAGGCCTTTGGAGCTGGTTATCAGTCCGTGAGCTTGATGGAGGAGGTGCTGCTCAGCTGGGAAACACAGTTTTTAATGGAAGTAAGAAGCAGTCTACTTCTCAGAGGATTCTCCAGAATTCTTTTTCCAGAGTCATTTTAGCTCATGTTCTTAATCCTCATGTATACTCTGTTCTTTTTTTTTTTTGAGTTGGAGTCTCACTCAGTCGCCCAGACTGGAGTGAAGTGGCCGCTCCCGGCCACCGCAGCCTCGCCTGCTGGGATCCGGCGATCCTTCCGCCTCAGCCTTCCAAGTAGCCGGAATTACAGGCGTGCGCTCCCACGCCCAGCTGATTTTTTGATTTATTGTAGAGATGAAGTCTCGCTGCCCAGGCGGGTCTTGAACCCGCGGGCTCAGGCAATCCACTCACCTCGGCCTTCCAAAGGCGCGGGATTACAGACTGAGCCACTGAGCCCGGCTTGTTCTTATTTTTAAAATTCCTCCTGGTGAATGTTTCTCTAGAGTGCTGAATGGCATTTCAGGGGCTCTCATTCATCAGGGGGATTGAACAGTGCTCAACTGCCCAAGGCAATGGGGTGTTGGGCCAGGCTCAGTCTCCCAAGCAGCATTGTGAATGCCTTACAGAGGCTATAAGATGAGAGGATTGGCCGGTTCTTCATAGCCGAGGTCGTTATCGAAGGAGCTGTATTGATGCTTCTGGACTCCACTGTCAGGTCGAGTCTTTTTTTCACTTGGGTTTAACTGTGTCTTTGCTGCTAGTGTTAATGCAGACGACAGTAAGTGAGCATGGATATGGGTGCCTGGAGCTTTGTACCCCACATCTTTACAATAAACAAACAAACATAAATAAAATATATATTCAAGGGGAAAAAGGCAACTTGTATTGTGCAAGTGTAGGAATGAAAATTGAACTGATGTATAAATCTCATTGTTACACAGATGGTAAATTTGTAAAACAGAAATTGTAGTGTTTGCCTTGATGAGAGTGTGTTGGGATATGTTTGTAACCTTCTGATGTTCTTGAGCCTATCTGACATTGGAAGCACAGAGTATGGAAATTTTATGCTCTTACCCAAAGGCAGTGCCTTCCAAATTTGGTTTTTAAAGAAAAAATTTTAGGCAAAACTCAAATTATATAAAACAGATGATAATAGAACTGTCACTGGTATGATATGGATAGTCCCTGCAGAGACCACAACCCAAGGCCCTGTGTTCACAGGGAATGCCACCACTTTCAGTGGCTTTGTGCATGTGCCAGCTTGGTAACAACTAGCCATTCTTTTATAGGTTTATAGCTTATTGAGTTAAGCCTTTCTGCCTGTCACTTCTTGTTTTTCAGTATAAAATTGTGAAACTTAATGAAGTAGTCAAGTTACATGTTATGAACATTTCAGAATGATCTCCAGGACACACTGAAAGTTTGTTCTTATCCCTGGATGTCTTTTTTCTCCAAATGGCAATGTTTTAAACAGATCTGTCAACCTTTGCTCAGAAATAAGATGCTAAAAGAAATTTAAGTCATTTGCTTAGATTTAGTTTTTTTGAAAACTCAGAAGATGAATTATCTAGATTTTTACTTAATTCATCTAAATGCAGTTTTTAACCCTTATTTCCATGGACAAAAATGATTATTATACCCAAGAAAAACAAATCATTATTCTTGAATAGCCAACAATGCATCTTACATTTAGCACCAATTTGTGTATTTTGAAATAAACTTGAGGCAAAATATATTTTGTTTATTCAAATGGCATTTATTCTTATAGAAAATAAACTCCATTTTCTATTATTTTCTTTTCTAGGGACCCAGATGGAAGGATGCTCTTAGATATTTTTGATGAAAACCTTCACCCTCTTTCGGTAATCTTCTCCTCTTTGTGTTTCATGGGATTGTTCAGTTATTTCTCTTTTCCTTCCATTGAGTTTCCAGTCATCTGAAAATATTTCCATTCCCAGAAATCCGAAGTGCCACCAGATTATGACAAACACAACCCAGAGCAGAAGCAGATTTACCGGTTTGTTCGGACACTGTTCAGTGCTGCTCAGTTGACGGCTGAATGTGCCATTGTCACCCTGGTGAGTGCTATCAAGATGGCACACCTCCTGCCCCCATCCCACCCCCGCGTGCTCCTGCGCCTGTTCCTGTAGTTCAGTGGAGAGATTTGTTAGCAGGGTATCCTCAGTAGGTGACTCTGTAGATACTCTGGCGTAAGCTTCGATGTGGTCTTTTTTCTGGGCAAATAGAGTGTGGATATCCCCAAAGAGGGCATGATATCTGTTCCACAGTCCCCACCTAAAGTCACTTGTGAAATTTCATTCAGAAATGAATAATAAATGCTGCAATATTAAAGGTATATGAGTAAAACAGCGGGGTCACAGGAGAGCAAGAAGGGCTAAGGTTACTTCTTGTTTACATCCAGGTTTCCTGCTGCTGATTCCTCACAAAGACTGTAATGGCATTCATAAGACATGATGGGTACATTCATCCTGTGGAAACTCCCATCTAGGAAGGAGTGTGCATATTGCTGTCTTCTGTTTTGTGATTTTTATGTAAACATGTCTGTAAGATATTCAGATACGACATGGAGGTAGTCTATATTTTAAGACTTGAGAAAAAATAATCTATTCTTGCTTAGATTTGTTAAACTTTATGACTATTTAGGTCAATCTCATTTGGGAAATAGAATTAACAGTGGCACCCTTTGTCACTGACCTTTTTACTTTGTGTAACTCAGATAGAATGTTAGCTTGGCCTGTGCATGAGCTGTCCTGAAAATCAGAATACCATCCCTGTGTTTCCAGGGGAGGTGATTGTATAGTAGAACCTTCGTAGGCAACCAGAAGACTGTGTCTCAGCCACGCCAAGGCTCTTAGGCTGATTGACAAAAGACTGCTGCCTTGTTTGCTCCTGGATTCACCCGTTCATCCATGTATTCAGTCCTTCTCATTCAACTCACAGCCTACAGGATAAAACAGACACTGAAGTCATCATTAGGTGATTTGGAATGACAATAGGTTCTCATGTCAGAATGAAGAAATATATCTGTTGCCCAGCTTTGTTCTCAAAAGGATTCCGAGTTCTTACAGAAACACACAACAGAGCTGCAGGGTTGAGATTTCTATGTGGGGCAATTATGTTGAAGGAAAAAAAGAGGGTAAGAAAACCAGGAGAAACCAAAGATGAGATTAGTACTGAAATTCATACCCTGGGGAAAGATTTATTTTGAAGCTGCTGTAGATGGAAGATGGTAGGGATTTTTTTTCACCTTTAATTCCCAAGAAAAATATGACCTGGTTATGACCAGATAGTGCCTTCTAGTTTAGGCTTATTGTTCAGAGGGAAGGAGAAGGTTCATATCTGTGGAGGACAGGGCCAGCATTTACAGACTGTGGGAAAACATCTCCATACATCTCCCGTTGTCCTCTGATGTCACTAACCGAAGGTGACCAGGAGCATGAACTGATTCATGTATTGGAGTATTGTGAGTGGCACTTTTTTTTGTGAATAATTATAATGATTTAAGTCTTCATTGGTCCTATCAGATAAACTGATGGATTAGCAGGACAGCAGCTTGTATCAGGGTCTTGTTGGGTGTAGCCTGGAGCGGAGCCGTGTTAGGCCTTCGTGGTGGGTGCAACTCCTGCAGACCCATCCTCTGCTTGCTGTGCTGCCTTGGCACAGAGCCAGCTGCATGTCTGTGGGCAGAGACCCTGGTAGGATTATTCTTCCCTTCTTATGTGCCCCTGGAGTTAGAAGCAGTTATTCAAGACAGGTCTGATCTAGCATTGACAGAGATACATTAATTCCGGCCTTTCTTCTGGGCATATGCTTGGCATCTTGGCATGCCACCCAGGAGGAGATGGAGAAGGGCAACAGTTAGCTCTGGCCCTGCCACCCACACCGAACAAGACTGCAGCCTGCTCTGGTGAGAGAGCCCGCAGGCCCTTCAGATACCCAGAACCCAGTTAACCCACAGCATGTATTTCACAGCTTAATGGACTTGATTTGAGAAGATTAACAATAACTTAGTATTACTGAGTGTATATTTTTTTAGCCTTGTAGAATATGCCAGGAGCTCTCCTGTTGATACTGACATATGAGGAAATTAAAAAGAGGGTGAGGCAATTGAATGGCACCTTGCTGAGTTACGTTACATTTTCACATAAGGGCATGTAGTAATGGTCCCTGCAACAGCCGTAAGAGGCTAGAATCATTGTGGTGGGGTGGGCGGAATGGGTCTTAGTATCCAGCAGCCTCTCCCTGCAGTTCCTCTTTCTCTCAGGAGTTACCAAGCTGGGTGATGCTTACAACCTTGAGCAGACACCCACGTCAGTCCCATGTGGTACTTGGATGACAAAAGAAAGCTTACTGCCGATCTGAACGGGAATCTTTTGTTGTAAGGATGAGAAACACACAGAGCCCAAGGTAGCAGAAGAATTATTGAAAGATCCGGGAGGGTCCCCCAATCCCCTGTCATCTAGGCCTGGAAGGATATCATACCATATCATGAGACCCGTGACAGGTTCCTCCCTACCTGGGCTCTCTCCTCTCACCTCTGTGCCTCCCTGTGGGACTGGCTGACTTCCTTGCTTCAGGTGGGATTCCTTGCTTCAGAAGTAGCCATCCCACCTTGACTCCACATCACTTTTCCATTTATGACCCTACTGGCTAACAGTCTGGAGATGTTGGAGAGGGGTGCGTTTTGATAGATCCAGTTCCTTTGGGTCAGATGTTCTCTTGTAGAAAAATCTGTCATGACCCCAAGATGATGGAAACTTGGTCCTGAGTCATTATTTGTCTCACTTTGTATTCTTCCTCTGTTCAAAACCTGCAGTGGTTCCCTATCTTCCTCAGAGGAAAACACAAAGCTCGTAAGTGACCAGCAGGGCCCAGCAGGATTAGGCCTTCTCTTCATCTCAGCTCTGCTGCCCCCACTCTCTTCACTGTCTCTGCTGTAGCCACTCTGGCACCTGCCGTTCCCTGAATAGTCAAGACATCCACCTGCCCTAGACTTCTGCCCTGACCCTGCTGCCCGGAATCCTGTGTCAGGTGTGCATGTGTCCTGCCCTCCTTCCTGTCTTTGCACATTGAGGCTGTTGCCTGACTGCCGTATTTTAAGTTGCAATGGTCTCCCCACCACATCCCTGCTCATCATTTCTGGCTTGGCTTTGCTCCACAGTACTTACCATCTGTCAGCATTCTTAGGTGTTAGTCAGTTATTTTATTGTTTTGTCTATGAGCTCTGTGAATTAGGGTTTTTTGTCTTTTTGTCCATTGGTTCACTGCAGTATGACCAGCATCTGGTACACAGCCTGACATATCAGAAATGCTCAATAAACATGTATTAAATGTGTTTACATGAGCATAGTAATAACTACCTACTGGCTGAAGTAAATAAAAGCCGTTGATGACATACCTCTCATTATGCCTGAAACACAAGGTGCATCCAGTAACTGTTATCATCTTCCCCTTCCTTGGTAATTTTATAACATTAGGCCTACATTCTACCATTTCATTGTTTAAGTTATTAAGGTGATCCTTCTGAAAGGAGTGGTGGAGTCTTCAACTTTTGAAACATCTCTCAGCTGAATCCCTCATTATTGAATGTTCTATGCAAGGTTGGCTCCGTTTTGCAGAGAAGATAGAGAGGTGGCAGAGTGAGCACTTGCCAGACAAGAAAGAGTGTAGTCCTTTTTTATTCTTTATTTTCTTATCACTTTATTGAGATATATATTTCACATGCTATAAAATTAACCCATTTAAAGGGAGTACCTCAGGGGGTTTTAGTATATTGTACAGTCATACTGCAGCCTAATTTCAGGATATTTCCATCACTCCATAAAGAAAGACCCTCACCCTTTGGCACTCACTCCTTGTTTCCAAACCCTCACTAAAGCTCAAGTAACTACCTAATTTTGTCTCTGTGGATTTGCCTATTCTGGACATTTCATGTAAATAGGATCATATGTAATTGCTTATAACTGGCTTCTTTGACCTAGATTACTAAGGTTCATCAATGTTGTAGCATGTATAGTATTTTGTTCCTTATTGCCAAATAATATTTCATCATATAGATATACCAGTTAGCACTTCATATCCACGGATTCAACCAACCGAGAGTTGAAAATATAGGTAGGCCTATAATGGTTGCATCTGTAGCAAATACATACAGACTTTTTCTTCTTGTCATTATACCCTGAACTGTATAACAGCTATTTACATAGCACTTACAGTTTATTAGTAATCTAGCCCTTTGCACTCAGAGACGTCTCACGGATCACCTACTAGCAACTTGACCACACTTTTTAAAGAATGGATCACTTCATGTTAAATAGTATAGTATTGGCACCAATTATTTTATTGTAATGATATTTGGCTTATAATGGAATTTTGGACATTGAGGAACTTATTTATGATAAAAAACCAAAATTTTATATTGTATGCTTTTCTAATATGCGGTAATATGTGAAACAGTCACTAACATGCATTGTAGGTTCATTCATCTATGTTGTACAGTAGTAATTTGTTTGACATCTTCCACCTGATCTTTTTCTGTTCAAGCACACAATGCAGTCTCATTTTATTTCTCCCACATTAATAATATGTGATTTATTGTCCAGTCTGTACACCACTGTGGAAGCACTTCACACATTCTCTATGTAACGCTAGTAGATTTTTTTAAATGTGTATCTCAATATATATTCCATCTCTTTATTTGCTTTTTCATGCAATCTGAATGGAAAACTTCAAGGAAACATACATTTTTGAAAAATTTTCCCTGGCATAAGTTTGTCCTATGTAATCACCAGCAATCTCTTTATGTCTCCTGAGAGGGGACTTCTGAGTGGTTTGCTAGATTTACAATGTCCCCTCAGAGGGCACATCCGAGTGCAAAGGGTTAAAGATGACTGGAAGTCTATGGAACAACTGTGTAGGTTATATGCAAGTTACCATGCCATTTTTATATCAAGGATTTGGCATCTGGATTTTGGTATTGGCAGGGGATCCTGGAACCCATCCCCCATAAATGCTGAGACATGACCGTACTACATTTTGTTTATTCATTCATTAGTTG